GCTTAATTTTACTGTTGTTTTAAAAAGTGTTGAAAAACCACATACTTAAGACTGGGGAACTGTCAGCAGTGGAATTGCTTAATGTATAATGTATCATGTATAATACATTAAGACATGAACTAGCCTGAATATATACAATTATATTGGGAACTAAAAAGAATTTTTGCAGAAATTGGGAGAGAGGTACTTTTAACCTGATATTTCTTATAATCTTAATCTCTACCCCCCACCAAATTCAGTGTTGATATCTTTAAATGACAATGAATACCTCAAACTGGTTGATCTTTGCAGAGATTATTTCTAATTTTGATGGATTTTATTGTGTACAGCCATTGAGCAAACATGGAGCCAAAGCCAAAATAATACTCTCCACTTTCCCATGAATTCTAACACAGCAATTAACTGAGTCTAAACAGTCAAAAAATGAAGGCACTAAATGAACTTACACACTTAATGCATTTTACTATTGTCAAAGAGTTGTCTTTCTCAACTGTTTTCTTGGACAGAAGGAATTTCAGCTCACAGATTTTCTGGTTCATTTCTTAGTTAAGGAAATAATGAATGAAGGCTCAGGTAACACGTGCTACAGCCTGAAGAGTATGTGTGCATAAGGCTGTTTTCAAGTATATTTTTTTTTTCAGACAGACAAAATACTATCCCAATTATGGTAGCATAACATTTTAGTCTAACAAGGAATCTTAAAGAGATGTGACTTTTACGTCAATTAGATATAATTCTAAATAAAATGGATTGCATTTGTTTGAAATACATTTTAAACAAAGTTCTAAATAAACTTAAGTTTTTCAGTAATTACATTATCTGTTTTACATTATTTTGCACTGCATTACATTGCATTGCATTACATTACATTACATTATTTTTAACTACCTTAGTCATGGGAAATTGTAAAAAGTTGCTGTATGGTATGGTCTCCCAAGTGTTTTAAACTGATCTAAGACACTGCTCTGCTGAAAGGGTTGCCTTACTGCTTTTTTTGTACTCTTGCAAGTGTTCATGATAATGCTGGTACAATAAGAGAGAGGAAATATGGAAATGTGCAACAGTGCAGGGAAAAGCAGTCCCTCTGAGGCAGCAAAGAGGAATTACATCTGTTTAAACAGACTGTGGAACAGCATCCTTAGGCTCTGGCTCTCCTCTGTAGGGCGTGTGCAGTGTTGGACAGTAAAAGACACTTTCATTCAGTCAAAATATTCCTAGCCTAGGGGAAGACACAACTATGGAAAAAATACTCTCTGGAGAAATTTTAAGTATAGTCTCACTAATTGTCACCTTCCTTGTTCCTGAATGTTTTCTTTTCAGCCCAATCAGCATGTTTGTGGGATTGCAGTCGAACTGGGGTGTGCTCGGACGTGCGGTATCTCACGTGCTCTCAGGGCTCTGTTGACAGTCTCCTAGTGTTCACAACAGATGAGTCTGGCCTATGGTGTAGTTTTAGTGCCATCTGCAGCATATGGTAACTAGCGCAATGGAGACCTTGCTGCCTTCGGGTTCCTCTTGGTTGTTTCAGCTATTTGAACCACCACACCAATTCACAAAGAAATTAGTTTAAAAGAAAGCATGTACTGTCATCACAGTGCAAACACATGACGTGCTTTTATTCAAAACCTGATAAAGACCAGGAGACATTGTAGCTAAATCAGCAAAGAAATACTGGCCAAAACCTTTCCGTATGTATTGAAGGTTATTTGAATATCAGTAGCATAAGCTAGATCTTTGAGTGCAGAATCATTAGTAAGACAAGTATAAATTGGAAGCTATCTACCAGTAACCCTTTTCATGCCCTTTTCTATCAATGCTTTTTGGTGCATGCGTTCCAGCTGGGCTGTTACTTTGAATTGGTTCACTCACCAAACTTTTAACTGGGGCACAGTTTGAGATAGTACCTAATCTATCCATGACAGCAGGATGCGTTCAGTCAGAACGCGTAGGAAGCAAGGACGGAGTGGAAAAGCATTTGGCAGTGTGGCAACATCCAAGAGACAGTTTTGACCCAGCTTTTTATTTACCAAACATTTCACAGCTTGTTTTCTTTTAATTTGAATGCTTAATGTTGAAAACTGGAGAAATAAAGGATGCAAAAAGAGAAAGGTTTGACAAATACAGATCTTTCTATTTTAATTCCAAATAGTGTGTAATTTCAAAAATCCATTATACTAAAACCCTTTTAATTCTCAGTTGAAATGAAAAGCTTATAAGGCAGAGGTTAAATAAATTATTTTGTTTATCTTGTGAATGACATATTTTGGTTTGGCTATTTAAAGAGGAAGAGTAAAAAAAAACCACTTCAGATATTTGCACAGCCCTACTGAAAAGAAAATAGCAACAAGACCAAAAAAAAGTCCTGTTAGTTCGTATTGGTACTGCCGGATCAGCTACTCGACCTTGCCTCTGTACTTGCAAAAATGTACTTTCTAAATTTAAAAAAAAAATGACTGAAAACTACAAAAGTTTTTCTAACCCATCTCCCCTTTTTTGGGGGGCAGAATTAGAATTTTGCGTCATTCCTGAAAAATATTTGTCAAATCTTCTTAAAGCTTCCTGTGATGGAGACTGACAACCTCTCCAGTCCTTAATTAACCTCGAGGAGAGAACGTTTCTATATGTTTTAGGCTGAATTTTTTTTGCTGCAATACGAGCCCATTAGTTCCTATTTACTCACTCTAGACAGAGTGAACAAACTGTTCGCTGCTTCTTCACGATAGCCTTGTGAAAACTGTTAGTATGCTCCCTCTCAATTTTCTCTAATTTAGCCTGATCAGTTCCAGTTCTCTCAGTCTTTCTTCACAGGTCATGTTTTCTAGATCTCTGATCTCTTTCCTCTCTGAGGGCTTTTTTAGACAGTTCATTGCTTTCTTTGAAATCTGATGCCCAAAAATGGATGCAGTATTCCAGCTAGAGCTTTGCCACTGCCAAGCAGAGTTGAAAGATTACTTCCTGCACTTTGCAAGCTGCTCTCCCATACATGTGGCAGAATGGTGATTGCTTTTTTTTTTGCAGTAGCACAACTGTGACTCACTCAGCTTGTGGTCTGCTGTATCTCCCAGATTGGCATTTGGTGTTCCCCATCTTGAACAGCTGATCATTTCTCCCTGAGCGTAGTCCCTTCTGCTTTTCTGTTCAGCATTTCAAACTTCTTTTCTAAGCAATGCTCCACTTTCTGAAAATTATTTTAAGTTCTTGCAGTGCCTTCCTGTTGCCCATTTGCAGACTTAGTCAATGTGGCTTCTGTTCTGTCGTCTGAGTTCTTAATGAGAACATTGCATTTTGTAATGGACGTCCAGCCAGCAGGTCTTTTCAGTTGTTCAAGGAGTCATTAATAACTACTCTCTAGTTTTGGTCATTCAAACAGTTTTCACTCATTTTATAATACTTTAATCTAAATCTGTTTCTTAAATTTGCTGATGAAATTGTTATGTGAAATGGTTTAAAAAATCTTGCTGAAATCAAAATGTGTAACAATAAGTTATTTTTTGCTGTCATGAATCCTTTCACCCTCCTCACAAGCAAAGTAGTCTGACTTGTGATTTGTTCTTGACAAATTCATGTTGGCTATTACTCATCTGCTTATCTTTCAGTGTTTTTAAATTCCTTATTTGTTCAGGTTTTTTCATTGAATTTGAACTGATTGCTCTATAATAAGACATACATGTACTAGTTGTCTGACATACCATCTTTGAGAACTTCTCAGTGACAATGAGTAATAGTTCTGAGCTTACTTCATTCCCTTCTTGACTGTCCTTGGATAAAGTTCAGCATACATACCTGATTTGAAAAGTTATAATTTCTGGAAATGTTCTCTAGTTTGTTGCCCTGTTTTAGGTTAAGATTTTACTTCTTTACTTCTGGATTAGCCACATGCTCTCAGATGCCTCTTCTAAGTATGTAAAGACGCATTAAACACTTCAGCTTTCATCTTCTTTTTTCAGTACTGTTACTTTTCTGCTAAGTTGTGGACTAGCTTTTTGCATTGCCACAACAGAGTAGCCATACCGCACACTCGCCATACTTTTTTCATGCTCTTTCAGCTGCCCTCTTTCCAGCAGCCTCCATCACCAGTTATGTTGCAAACCTATTTCCCACTCCTCTGACAGATTCCTTAGGTGGCCGGCTCAACTGTCTTCTTCATCATCCAGGGCTGCAGACAGCAGAAGAGTAAGACATTATGACCTTTAAAACCTGGAAAATGTTATAGTCTGGCTGCCCTCTAGAGAAAATGCTTTGAGAAGAGCAGCTGTAGTCATAGCTCTAGCTACCTGCAGTGGTGCACTGGCTGCTAAGGGCTGAAAAGGGAAGGGGTATTTGGCTTAGTCGAGTTCTTGAGCTGCCTTTGTATCAAATTCAGCCCCAAATCACTGTGTTTACAGTCATAGTGACACGCTGGCAACATTGCATCAGGTGATCGGGAAAAGAAAAGGGGAACATGCAGTAGAAGTAGTTCAGAGTCAATAGAGAAAGTTTTATTTTTAAAGATGGGTAACTTGAGCCACAGTGAAACAAAGTACTATTTGCAGAATCTGATAGTAGGTTTTGTAATGTGAAATACCATCCAGGAGTCCTGACTGAAGCATGTTGCTCTCACACCAAAATCCACATACCATCTTTGAGAACTTCTCAGCTATTTAAATAAATCTCTTAAGGATGGAGGTGAGAAGGGGATAAGATACATGGGAAAGGAAATGAGAATGTTATCTCCACTTTACTGTGTAATACTCATTTAAGAAGGGCTAGAACTTTCTGAATAATGAATGTATCTCAGTATTTCATGTCAGTTCAAAATGCTGAGGAACAGTTATTGTAAATGAGAACTGAGAAACTGCTATTAGAAATTTATTATAAACCTTAGGAAAGTGCTAATTTCAAAAACAAAATGCAGATTTCATTTTGTGTGACTTTCAATTAGGAAAAAATAATAATTTTAAAGTTCTCTTGAAAAAAGTGACTAGAATAACTCTGATATCTTCTTTTTCAATCCCTTGCAGCTCCCAGACAGCTGTATAATGGATTACTATGAAAAGTACAAGCACAGAATGAATGAGCTTGAAGCATTTAATATGGTAAAAGTTATAATATTAATACTATTACCATGTCTATATGTGCTAGTCTAGAACAAAGCCCTGTTAAGTTTCTTGTGGAGATGGACTGTCTTACACTGTGGTATGCAATCTCAAAAACAAAGCAGCTCCCCCTTCCAAACTTTGGAGCATATCCTATTCCAAAACTATATTAGGTGTCAGTAAAATAATAAAGCGAACACATGGAAGATTCTTTTTCAAGAGGGACTATTACCCTGGAAAATGAAATGTCAGTCTCCTTTTAAACCTAGACTGGTCTCCATGCAGTTATTTCATAAAAATTCTTTTTATTAAAATTCATTATTTCCCTCTTTAAAATTGTTCTGCTTCATATAATATCATTTTCTTGTTGGACAAGGTCTCAAAACCAACTAAATAGCATAGTTTCCTGGCTTTATGGCATTCCATGTATTTTTGATCTTTAATATATTCTGTTTTGAAGACATCTATCCCACAGGGAAAATTGGCAAGGTGACATTTGTACAACAGAACCACTAGAAAATTACTGACCTTCCTGAAATTGTTCTGTGGAAGTGTAACCATTCAGAAGTGTATTGACTCTCTTTCCCAAATCATTATAGTATCTAATCTTTCTTTCAGTTGAAGGTTGTTCTGGCTCCCTGCATAGAAGTTTTGATACTTCTGGATCGTCTTTGTTACCTCAAGGAGCAGGTATTTTTGCATTATATTTTATGATACCTGAAGGCTACATCAGTGAAATGAGACTATTTCAGCCAATTTATTACTGTGCAGACCAAAAATCTCTGTTGCAGAATTGTTATTCTCATCATATTTGAAAAGTATAAGCATTCATTCTACTTACTATAAACATATGCCCAGCAGATGTTTTTATTTTCAGTTTAGCAGCAACAGTAAAGTTTATGTTCTTTTAATTGTATGGTCATTACTAGTCAATAGACAGTAAAAAATAAATTAATTAAATATGCAACAAATTTCATTTTGTACAACATATTGAAATATTTAATAATTAACAAGAATATTGGAAATGCTAAACAAACATTGTACTGTACATAGTAGAGCTTCCAATGAATATGTTTTAGAACATATAATTCAAGAAATTTTAAATTAGGTCAAAATGTTTATGATTTCATTTTATTGTTTCTTAGTTAAGATCAATGATGAGAGAGGGTGTTTTTTCCAACTGTATGGGTCAACTGAGGTACATTTAATTAACATACAGCCTGGATATATTTTACAAGTGTAGACCTGGGATATAATTTACTTTGTAATGATTTATATTACAGTGTTTCCTCTATCACTAATTTGGACGTTGGCCTGATTAACTCAGAAGCAGCAGTCATGCTTTCTCTGCACTAGTAAACATTTTTCAGACAAATAATAATTCACTAGGAGGAAATGGTAACATCTTCCAGCTTCTGCTCTGGGCCACAGTCAAAATAAAATTTTAAAATAAAGTTTAAACCCATTCATGTGAATAGCTCTGTTTTTCCACCATAAACCTTTCATTTTAACAGCTCCATTTTATCATAAGTAAAAATTCACTTTATTCTCTGCCACAGTGCACTTGGAACAACTGAGTTGTAGTAAATGTATGCTTTTGTTCTAACTGGTATTTTTACAGAGAGGCAATTCGAAATATTTAAATAATGATGTATTTTCCCCAGTACCAACCAGTTATAAATCACGTAGAGATCTGTATGATTTCCAAGACAGGAGATCAGGCTTGCTGCATTTAGTACTAATTTACCTTTTCTAAGTGTAACATATGCATTGATTTATTCTTGTACTGGTTGATTCACAAAATGTGTCTAGAAAGAAAAAATAGAAATGATAAAAGACATATGCAATGTGAAGACCAGATCCAGCTGGCCTTATTAATTTGAAAAGTCAGTTAATTAGCTTCAGTAGTAGAACGTGCTGCATAAAATGAGTAGGACTTGATCCTTAATTTCTTTGCACTGGTTAACTGAAAAAAAGCTTTATTGATGAAGAGGGTGGTAAGCTGTTGTTTGATACTGCCAGAAATAATTTAATGTCTTTAAAATACATCATGTTTCGCTATCTTTTTTTCTGAACAAACTTTCAGATTTTCTTGTTAGTTTTTTTCTGCTTTGCATTAAGCATAATTTTAAATATTTTTTTTGCAATTTTGTATTTCAAAATGTGGGCCTATTACTGTATCTTAGCTTTTAAGTCAAACACATTTTTATGTACTTCAATCGTATATCATTTTACAGGACAACATTGCCTGGTCTGGTCTTGTGAAGTTATTTGATCCTGTGAAATCCCCCAGATGCTATGCAGTTATTGCTCTGAAGAAACAGTCATATTTTTAAGTGGAAGCAAATTGCAGAAAAGTCGAAATCTCCTAACTGATACTGCTGTTTCCTCGCTTTTATTCTGTTATTTTTAATTGATTTGCCAAGTACAATGACTGTTTACTTTTCAGCTACAAAAGTAAAAAATGCAGTGTCTCTTTGAATCATGAAAAATAAATATCTCCTTTATAAATACCATTACTTTCTTCTGTCAGTTATTAAACAATGTTGAATGTCTGGCTTTATTATAAAAGTTACAACCCATATTACATGATTATTATTTTTAAATAATTTTTATGTTTCTCCTTTTGAAGGCATTATACTATGTATTGATACCCCTTCTCTTGATATTTCTAATGACAAGATCATAACTACTCAATTTTTACCAGGGGCTGACATCAGCAGTCTCAGACTAGCCTTGCCTTGTTTTTTTTCTGGATTCACATGGTGCATAGCATAAACAGAAAAATAACCTGCACTGTAAACAAGAGGTTTGTAAACTAAGTAGGATCTTAGTACTTCCCTGTTCTCCAGGTCATCGGGACCACCTTCTTTATACAGCAACTTAGAAAAGCCTAGATAGTAACTACCTGCAAAGAGCAGTTTTGTATTAACCTCTTCTTCCTTCAGACATGTTCTTGGCATGCCCTTGTTTGCCTGTCACTCTGAAAGAAAAAAACGTGTTTGCTCTAATCCAGTGGGATATTTCCCAGTGCTTAAGATTCAGCTGCCCTGCTGGAGTTCACTCTGTAATCCTTGGGTTTTATCAGAAAGCTATTATCTCACCCAAATGTGTTGGGTATAAAGACTTTAGTACCCAAGTGAATTGAAACTTGCTAGGCAGTTTCTCGTTGGCTGTACTACATTCATCAGTGGGAAATTTATTTGTTGATCCATTTATCTCAATGGGTTGCCTAATTAAACTTGCAGATTTTCCATCAATTAAAAAAGAGAAAAGTTTCTATTCTAAGTCCCAGTGCTTTTATTAGAATTTTCCAGCATATATAAAACATAATTAACTACCAGTGCAGAGAAAAAAGGACAACAAGTAAATAATTAAGTACAGTATTAAAGAATAAAAGGGGAGAATACAACTTTGGTGGGCAGAAGATGAGAATAGCAGAAAATATTTTTATATTAATCGTATAGTGACACTAGTAGTCATGGAAATCAGAGAGATTCAGATGTGTGTAGGAAGAAATCTTATTCTGTTTCAGTCTGCAAAATATAATGAGAGCTTGTGAACATGGCCATTCAAGAAAAGAGAAGTAAGGCAGTTCTCTAACAAGTCGTATCTTTCTTGATGTGTCCACTTGGAAGAAATACTTTTTTTTTGGTGGTGTAAGTTCACTGCTGTCTATTTTAGGACTCACAGTCCCTATTAGCTCCATGGATCCAGTATGAACTTCTCACATTTGTTTGGTCTCAGTACGTTCAATCCTTAGAGCTGTGGAACACCTGCAATACCTAAGGAAATTAACAGAAGGTGCAGGTGCTCACAGCATCTTTGGAATAGAGCTAAGAAAAGAAAATGAGGCCTTCCATATGTGCCACTTTTTGTTATATAGAGAGTACTGAGGAAACTAAGAGGCTAGTAGGTCTTTTCCCAGGAGAGGAATCAAAAGAAATAAAATCCTTTTCTAACCTCTAAGCATCTGGAAGAAAAAATGCCAATAATCTGATATAAAGATATATGATGTTAAAAAGAAAAAATAGTAACAAAATGTTGCTCACCAACCCAGACTGCAGCTCCAAGGATACCATTGCATCTTCCACAGCCAGGAGGAAATGGCCCACCTTTTGTAGGCAGGGTCTAAACCTTAGTTAATTAGTTAATTATATTCAATTCAAGCCAGCTGGGTAATAATAATTGGATGCCATACTTCCCCATTTTTGTTTTACAGTTTTTTGTTTTCAAAGGCAAGAAGACTTTGCAGTGAGCAGAGACCCAGTCTATTCATTCCAACTCCAGCAAGCTTCCCTCCCACAAATACCACATCAGGGCTTGCAGCTTTACCTTCTTTACCAAAGGACTCTCACTCCGGCGAGGAAGTCGGAGTTCTCAGATGTATCTCATCAGGGTTACCAGTTGTTGCTCACCAGCCTGGGCTGCAGCTCCAAGAATGCCATTGCATCTTCCCCAACCAAGAGGAAATGGCCCGCCTTTTGTAGGCAGGGTCTATACCTTAGTTGATTAGCAATTCATGCCAGCTGGGTAATAACAGGATACCATAACAAAAATGTTAGAAATATAGGTTTTATTATATTGTGTTCTGCCAAGACATGATGACTGATTATTAATGAAGTATTAGAATGTTGTCATCCCAATCATATGTGCTGTTGGAAAAATTTACTTGGGGATGAAATTGCCTTTTTTGTGTTATGAATTTATTCTTCTGCTTTTTCAGATAACGTACTAAAACCCAGGCATGTATGATGTCCAAACAAAGAAAGAACAGTTTCTCATTGAAAGCAAGTGCTTAAAAGTACCCTGTTATGGACCAAAAATATGCGTTTCAGCAAACCCCACCTGTTTTATTTTGAACGCAGTCGAAATTGCATAGGGCATACAGACTATTGCTAAGTGTGGTATTTTAATGTGTGTAATGCTATCTAAATTCAAAGTTAAATTATTATCTTAAGAGGATATTTGCAACAGTTTAGAATAACAAGCACATCTCTAGGATTAGCCCAAGTGCTTTTTCACTGATTCAAAAAGGTCTGAATAAATTTACATGCCCCTCCAGCTACTTCTCAGGCTCTTTCAGTACTTTTCACGCACTTTGTAGTCTATCCGGGCAAAGACAGAGGCAATGTGCTTCTTAGGATAATAGCTATCAAGAGGTTTATATGATGAGTTTGCATTCAGCAAAAGTCAGTTGCTGCCTGCTCTCAAAGTTGTTTCAAAGCTTTGGATGCCTGAATAGCTATGAGCTGCTGTTTACATAATGGAAAAATCCCTGACAGTAATCAAGATGAATAAAACAATTCTTCTTCATAGTTATTGCCAAAATTTATTCCATAATGTAAACTGTATCCTAAATATGATGAAGTCTTTTGATAGAAAAGAATCTCCATTTTCCTTCAGCATGACAGAGAGCCATCTATCTTGATATACTCCCTAAGGAATAGTAGATACGCCAGCTTTCCCCCAGGTGTTTGCCTGATTCTGTTCATGGCACACCTATGCATTCTGTAGCAGATTTGGAGTGGTTTATATGTTTTTCTTGGGGCTGAAATCTGTTATTTGATGGAGAAATAAGAGTTTGTGCAGGGTATGTGTGAAACCTTAATATCCAAGAGTATGTTGTAGCCCTAAGATCTCCAAGCCTGCTTTTGTGACAATAAACTTTAATTCTGCAGTTGTGATTCATGCCTTAGAACACCACACTGCAAATAATTTTGCACTGGTTTAGTTTCTGAGATTTTAGTTTCGTTTTTTTCTGATTAAGTATAAAGTATTTTTTATTATAAATCATCTTCTTCATTGACATTATTCATTAATTTACTGTTAAAACAACAATCAACATAGAGTTAAAATACTTTTGCTATGTCATGATGGAGTTAAAATCTTGAGTCTCAAAATCCATATGTCCTATGATGGCTTACAATCTGCATGGGGGAAACATGCTAAATGTATTTGCCTTGGTGGCAGCTGCATGTCTTTTTGATGACTGGAGTATTCTTTCCTGTCAATACTTAATGTTTCAGGTTTGCTTTTTTCCTGAAAGCCATCCTAAGTGTGTCATTATATTGCCAGAGATCACTGATACTGATGGCAAGTGGTAAAATAGGACCAGCATCAAGGAAGTCTTTCCTGCTTACACATGAAATAGCCATCTTAGTGTGATGCTTCAGACTTCCTTTTCTCTGGGAAGTAGCTGAATACCCAGTCTTTGTTAGCATCTTTAAACCTCTTTATCCCATGTCTTATAATTCTTACTAATACATGTCCTCTTTCTTGCTGATATACATCCCAGTGCTCTGTAAGGAGAGGAATCCACACGAGGCTATGAGCCATGAAGAATTTTCAGTGTCCATAATCAAATCAGAACCAAAGTACAGTTGCCCAGACATTTAAATTGGACACCTAACCCTTAGAACTGTGACTTTAGCTTCCCTGCTTTCTGAGATCCATTGAAATTTTGCGGTTTCCAGGATTCCTATGTTTCCTGCCAGGTGGGAGCATGGCCTAATTCTCTGGGAACCAGCTGCAGTTCTCTCACCATATTCATCTGAAATAATAACCAACTCAGTTTGATGGCTCTGTATTCTTTATCTCCAAGCAACTGCCGAGTAAGTTGTTCTCTTTGAATTTGCTTATCCCTGGTTGTTATCTTTGTCGATGTTATATTTTAGAATACTCTAAGAAAAGAAGTAAAATCCTTCTGAGATTTAGGAAGCCTCGGTGAAGTTGCACCACAGTTATGCTTCTTGTTGCTTTCTCCCTTAAAGCCTTGAAATGAATTCCTGATGATCAGACAGATTAATAAGCACCAGTCTGCCTGAAAGACATAGGCTATTAAAAAACACTATGTACAATATCTTCTGTTCAGGAGTCTTTTTCGATCCAAGAACTCGGACACATTTTCACAGAAATTCCAGTGCACATTATCATTAAACTCAAACGCCCAAGGAAGCCCACCAGCGTAATGAAGATTTGCCTCAAACTGTTTGAACATGTTGTTGTACACCACTCTTCCCAGAATACACCTGCATCCTCCTCAAGGCTGTTCGCAATGTCTGTATCAAACCAGAGAGGAATAGACACTTGTCTCACCCTCCCAGTGACGCTGTTCATGAAATCTGCAAGAGAATTACACTCTGTTCTTTGCTTTGTGTTAAAAGGCAGCAGAACTCTTCGAATGGGTATGTCCAACATCCAAAGATTTCTCCAGATATTGTTATTGAAATCCGTTTAACAGGTTTCTTCATTCAATTCAGTCTGGTAGTTACCTCAGTCAATATTGACTATCATTAATAGGTCTACAAAATTTTGTCCTGTGGTTTATGTTCTA